CACTTTTGGTCTGTTTGTGCATCACTTAGTTGATCCAGTAGAACTGGCCGCAATATTTTGTTTTCTTTGTCTTAAAGAGACGTTTTGTAGTCAGTCTTTCATTGTGTTTGTTTTTGGTCTCTGCAGACACACGGCTCATGGTGGTTTAACAATGAGTGTGGTTCTTGTCAAGATTTCCGCTTGTTTAAAAGAAGGTTTTTTTCTTGCCACTGTTTGCCACAAGTTTACGCTTATTGGTGTACCCTCTGGCTTCAGTTTAATTTAACCTCTTAAGTCATTAAGGACACAAATGTCCACTTCCAAAAAGCTGCTATAAAAATATTATAGATTAATCTTTTTTTCAGCTTTTTTCTGCATAAATCTTTTGATCAACTTCAGTCCTGATCAAAACTATCAAATATTGAATAATTATCAGGATTTAAACCCTTTAAAAGCCAGTTTGATTACATAATGTTAATATTTTTATGAAAAAACACACAATTATTATTCAACTTTTTGCAGCAGTTTTTGGAAGTGGACATTTTTGTCCTTAATGACTTAATGACTTTAAATCTGATGCTACACACAAACTAAAAATGCATCAAAGTTAATATTTTTGGCTAATCTTTGACATTTCAAAAACAGAGTTTTTTTAAATACCCCAGCCCCCCAACATTTGTTATATGGAAAACTATATTTTTGTGTTTGTTTTTTCATAAATAACAACACTGACATCAAGTAATCAAACTGGCATTTAAATGGTTAAACTCCTCAAACTGATTGAATGTTTGGTATTTTTGAGCAGGGCTGAAGTTGTTTAAGATATTTATGCAGAAAAAAAGAAAAAACAAATATTATTCTGTACGCTTTTTCTAGCAGTTTTTTGGAAGAGGACATTTTTATCCTTAATGACTTAAGAGGGTAGTCATTTTTTTCACTGTTCTATTGATCGATTAGAAAAATTTAAAATTGCATTCCAAAATTCGTCAAGAGAGAGGCTTCTTTGAAACTCGATGGGATAACCTTTTCTAAAAAGAACCTGCTGCTGATAGCAAAATGAATATGATTTTGATACAGGGTTCTTCTGTCCTTGCAGGTGTAAAAAGGCCTGTGCTCCCGTTTTAAAGGTCATCCTCACAGGGAGTTTAATGCTAGCTGGATTTGTAGTTCTGTTTTTAATGTACTACAAGTCACTCCCATCTCACAAATGTCCTCATCCACTGCTTCAACCAAAACAATGGGGAAAGTGGGTTGAATTTCATAGCACAGCAAAGGTTAAAAAAGCAGCAAACAGCACTGCAATGACACAAAAGAAGAACAAGCCCGTCATGCTGCTGTGGATGTGACCTGAAAACAATAGGTTTGATCTGCAAGGCTGTGACCCTCTTTTCGGGATTGACAGCTGCCATCTCACAGACGATAGATCCTTATACTCCAGCGTTCATGGAGTTTTGATTTTTCACAGAGGCATCAATGATGATCTCTCCAACCTCCCCACCTCAGCCAGACCGAGATTTCAGAGGTGGATCTGGTTAAACACAGATTCCCCTTCGAACATGCGCAGGATAGAAGGCATTCAAGGCCTTTTTAATCTGACTCTAAGCTACAGGAAGGATGCTGATATCCAGCTTCGTTGGCCAGTGTCTTTTAATAAGAAGACGGATAAAGATTTTGTGCTTCCAAAAAAGGAACGCTTGCTTTGTTGGATTGTAGATAGCAACGTCAGCACAGAATCAAGGGAGAGCTCTAACTACTACAGAGAGCTTGTGAAACACATCAAGGTGGATGTGTTTTACAGAGTTCTCAAAAAGTGAGGACTATTTCCTGACTATCAGCAGCTGCAAATTCTACCTCTCCTTTGAGAATTCAATTCACAGAGACTACATCACCGAGGCTTTCAATGGACCTCTTGCAGCAGGTACTGTGCCAATAGTTTTGGGCCCAACGCGATTGAACTATGAAGATTTTGTCTCGGGTACCTCCTTCATACATGTTAATGACTTTTCTGCTCCCGTGAAACTGGCTGAGTTCCTCCTGAAGCTGGATAAAGATTATTTTTCCAATATGAGATACTTTGATTGGCGGCAATTCTACAACACGAGGCCCCATCTTACTGAGGAGAATTATGAGTTTGTGCATGGTGTTTGCCAGGCTTGTCATTATTTGAGCATTAACAAAGTGTACAGAGTTGTTCCTGATCTGTACAAGTGGTTCTTTGGGTGATGTTTTCACACATTCAGGGATTTTTGTAGCTGGTTAAAGTTGAATAAGAATCAACGATGCATTTAATTGTCCAGAGCAGCAATGTTGCTTTTGGTGGAACGCATTTAATTACTTATGGTGAAGCATTTGGGGTTGGGAAGGGGTATATTGTTATTGACATCTAATAAAATGATATTTCTCTGACTTTTCATGCACAGATAACAGCCGTGCTTTCAATCTCTTTTGGATTTTGCAATTTTTAAGATAGCCTGAGGGGGTCATATAGAGAATTTTTCTTCAGCCTGAAAAGCAGGATTTCTTTTCCCCATGACTTATGAGTAAAAAAAACACATTTTTCAGTGACTTTTTATTTTATTTCACCTGTATTTTATTGAACATTTATATTTACCAGGGATGTTCCTATTGAGAGGAAAACGCTTTTCTGAGGTTGGAAAAGTATAGTTTTCCACATGACCTGTATAGAACTACAATAATGATGTTGTTTGATAACTGCATCATTTTTTTTGCAATATATGTTCTAACTTTTATTCACTGGTACAAGACCGAAATGAAGACAAAATCTCTAGTTGCCTTCATGACAGATGCAATATTTAGAACACACTACAATTAAAATGACATGCTATTTTATTGTATTATTATTCTGGAGCTTTTGAAGATGATGTTTCTTTAGAGAGTAAGAGTTGTATTTCCACTAAACTGTGTCAGCCGCTCAAACCTTGTGTCATCCCATCAGGAATCTAATTGTTTCAGCCTGATTTCTGCTAATTTTTCAAATGTGATGTATGTTTAATCAAGTGTGAGATTGATTATCCACCATGACATGTTCCAGCCTTTTTAAAAAGCATGATGTAGTTGGTGTATTGGTTTGTTTTCTACTTTACTTTACATGCACAAAATTATCTTAAAAACAAAACAATGGTTTTCCATATTGTAAAGAAATGTAATTCTTCTATGAAGTTAGGCGTTTTTATAATATATGCTCACTTAGTAAGCCAATCAGGTGGACTTTCAAGACACTGCAGCTTTTAGCACTTTTGATGTTGCCCATTTTATTTCAAAAATAGCTGTTGAAGAAGGAGGGAACACCAACCTGATGGACCATGAATGTGTAAACGTTCAGTTTAAAGTTTGCTACTGAAATTTAAAGAATGGCACGTCTACAATTCTATAATGATAAATAATACTGTGGGTATGTTTTTGGGTATATATTCTTTCAATGCAATCCTGACAAAGCCAGTCCTCTTGTGCAAAGGCTGCATGTGAATCCTCAGAGTTTTACCACCTAAAGCAATGGCAACATTGACAGGTGAGTCCTTATCCTTTTTGCACATTTAGAACAAACTCTAAAATGAGATTAGGCACTATTTTTATTATGGATCTTTCCCTTTATTAAAGCTCCTGTGATGAACTCCATTTTTGGGACCCCGTTGACAAAGGTGTGTCGTATAGCTCTTTGCCTGTATTTCCTCTGCACGTGACAGTCTAGATATATATACATTTTTAACCAAATTCTCATCCTGCTTTCTTTTAAAAGTAAAATCACTTATCAAGAATCCTTGCTACGAATGTAAAAAAAGGCTAAGTGTGGCGTGCTGTTAACAACTTCGTCTGGCACCTACCCTGCAGAGTAAGAAACAAATTTAATGATCAGAATTTTGATTAAATGTTTGTAAGTACCTCCATAGCTCCTAGAAGACGATACTGCTACTTGTGAAAAGATTGCTAATGAAAGAAAAAGATTAATAATGATATATTAGTGTAGTGATAAGTTCATAATATCTGTGAATTGATTATAGGCCCTATACTGTTTAACTGTTTTCCAGCAGGTGAACAGCACCAGTCACTGGAAGGTTGTTAGTTTTGAATCCATTAATTCCTATCATTACCTTTTGTTAAAGATGCTGAACAAGCCATCTTGTCTTACCTGATGGTAAACTGGTCTCTTAACCTGGGTAGACCACCATGGTAACTCTGCACTCATAGTCTGGTTATATTTATAAGAGTGCTTCAATGCCAGCAGATCATTTATTCAGAATTATGAGGAACACGGGATCATGTTGCTTCTTGGTCCTGCAAAGTCCGTGAAACACGGTTTTGCAGCTAAAATGCAGATAGGCTAATAAAGATCTACAGGTAGCCTATTTATCATAGACTCATTTTAATCGATACATTGATTTGACCTCTATTCGGCCCCATACTAAGCATTTAATGAAGTGAAAGTATACAACTTTATTGCACTTCCATTTTCCAAACGGTCCTATTTTAAGTAGTAGTGAAGGTTTTAATAGCAATTATTTTCCCTTTAGACTCGCATCTCATCATAACAGTGTGAAATGAAGCACGCACGCAGCAGGACAGCGCTCCTCGTTGTGCGGAAGAGGCGTCACATGACGCGTCGAAACGCCCCCGAAACCTCAACAAGATAGTCTGAATTAACAGATAACGTTGATAACCATAGTGATGGCCTACAGATGAACTCTAACTTTATCTCTAAGCAATCCTTTAAAAACAAACAACCTGGGTATGTCGACCTGGCTTCATAGTGCACCCCTCTTATTTGTATTTTATTTGTTTCCAAAAGTCTTGTAAAGTGTATAATTGAATACGGGACCGGTCCATTTAGATAGCCTACCTAACTAAACTAACTGACTTTTGTGTAACCCATCAAATTTCAACCAATGGTGTGTATGAATGTTTCCACTTGGGGGCGGAAGCTGCTGTCTCCTGGCTGTGACCCTGGATTGTGTGTTTGTGGTGCTTAAGTACCCTGGACAGCGACAGGCGGAGCACACCCATCAGCAGCAGAGGAACTTCAGCGGACTGCTTGTGGTTTTTTTTTTTTTTTACAAACAGAGCAGCTATCTTCCACCTCCCTTGTGTGTTTCACTAAGTGCCCTCTATGCTTGGTTCTCTTCTTGGACTTACTTTGTGAACAATCAGTTTTTTTTTTACGACCGGGTATGAAGTAATAGATAACGTCGTCCACGGAGCTCCGTGAACTGGGCTCCTTTCTATCCCTGCCCTTCCGTCCGACTACCCCTGTCGCCTCCTCCTGCTGGAGCTGGAGAGATGCCCGGGTCAGGATGTGCTCCAGCCGCAAGATCCTGTGGAGCCTGCTTCTGTTGTCCGTGGTGGAGGTTGGCCTGGGTGTGGCGAGTATCGTCCTGGGAGCCGTGGGCATCAGCTGGGTCCGGGGCCAGTACAAGCCGCAGCAAGGGGACGCGTCCCCGGTGTGGAGCGGACTATGTGTACGTCCCGGAACAACTTTTGGTTTCACCTTTTTACCTTAATTACTTTCAAAAAAGATAAGTAACATCTGGGGGATCTTAAACTGAGGGGAAACATTAGCTTTTTTGCATTAATGGGTGATGACTTTGGGATAAAATAGCATGCTGGTGTTTTTACGTCTTAAAATAAGGCATTTATCCGACTAAATTTGGCTTAAAGTTAAAGCTTTTTTTCATATCAACAGAAACATGGCTAGCCTCAATGTAAAAACTTTTGTTCCAAATCCATCGCTTTAAAAAATACAATAAATGCTTCAAACTCTCTTGAGCCATGTACAAATTATCCCTAAAAAAACTCTATTAAATTGGTAATTATTCTCACTTAATGAGACACAAACATCCGTTTGTCTACTAGATGCCTCTGTACTGGAACTAAAGATCAGTTCCATTAATTCATGCATTCATTTTGTCTCTGTGTTCATTATAGTCAAAGCTTTTAGCACTGAGACTGTTCTCCTCTTGGTCTCAGACTGTCTTCAGTTTGTTGCTGAGTAATGAAAAGATGAGTTCCTGACAATCTTGGTAGCTATATATATCCCTGAATTATCTGCTGCCTGTTACTTTAAGTGCGTGGAGCTCAGGAAATGTGAGTCACAAAAAAATAGGCTTTGTAAACATTGGATTTTTGTATAGTTTTGAGTTCAAAATAACATTCCCGAAGTGAGTTCAAATATTTAGGTGTACATCCAACAGAAAAAAAAGCAAAGACTTAAATTTACATTTTAGCATGACATTTGTTGAATAGTGAGTGTGTGCTGCTATACTTAAAGTTGCTGGATATGCAATGTGAGGTCTATGTGTCTAGCCTCATAGTTGTATCATGCTGTCTGCTGCATCAGCCACTGATGTCTCGTGATTACCAAAAGGTTTAGATCCCCTGTTGGGACCTTAGAGTTATTAGATCTGACTGATCCTAGTCCTTGAGTTGGACTATATCCAATCTCTGATTTTAGATTTAGTTTGCAGCTGAAACAGGAAAACAATCACTTCATTTAAAGCTATGAAACAGTATCTTTATTAATATTTAGTATTTTAATATTGTTCCTATTACCAACTGGAAAAGTGTATAAATGTAATGCCATTCTGATTTTTGACATAACAATTTTTTTTTTTTTTTTAAAGATTTCTGTTTGGGCTTAAAAAAAAAGAGGGGGGGATGCAAATTCCCATGTAGGCTATGTATTTATTTAATTTTAAGAAGAAGACGAAAAAATTGATGAGGATTACAAGATACCACTAAAAGCCCAACTTGAATATATAACCAATAAGTTACTTTATAGTTAGTTACTACTATTCTATGATTAAAGGTAAAAGATAAACCATCAGCTTACCTGAAATATTTCAAAATGTTTCCAAACTGTGATATAATAAGAGAATGTCAGAGCGCAATATCAGACTCTCTACTTATGGAAACACACAAACATACAAACAGAAACACCCCTTTGACTGTATCCTCTTTCAGCCAAAAAGATCTTCTCAACGTGTCGTCGTTTTGTGCTGTGAGTGGAATATCTGCTATCATAATACACCAGCGTGCTGCTCCAGTTAAGTCTGAATCAGTGACTTCCAGGACAAACATGGATCCTGCTGGAAGCCTTCAATGACACTCTCTATTTTTGGAGGGAGAAAATTGCATCTGAACCAACTGAGTGTAAAGAATCCATCTACCCTCTCTGCTGTGAACACTAGGGAGCGGTGATAAAAATAGCTTACATTTCATTGAGTTTTTAGACGTCTTTTTTTCTCGTAAAGCAAAGTACTACACAGTTTTAAAGTGTTCATTTACTCCTTTGTTCTGATCTCTTTCTCTTTTTTTCCAGTTCCTTGTCTGTGGGGTGTGTGGAGTGCTATGTGCTCGAAAAAGGACAGGTCTTATTGTAAGTACATTGATTTACTTTTTTGGTGTTCAAGTAGCGTCTTTTGTTGTATTCTCTTTTAGACTGTGATCTAGATCTCTCTTTATGCATAGCACTTTCTGGCCAGACACGGGAAAGGCTTTCAGTGACAGAGTGGACAGAGGGGTACCTTTACTATTGACTTTATATAAAAATGGGCCCATCTCCACCTCCTTCTGTTGTACAAATGTTTGGAGCCAGAGTTGCACAGTAAACTCGGTGCCGCGGTTCTGATTACCCGCCCTTTCTGCTAACAAAAAAAAAAAACATTTAATTGATGAAACAGCAAAGACCCGTCAGGCCACTACAGCCCCCCACAGAACAGATTCTTGTGTCAGTTTGAAGCAGACTGGTTATTAGAAGGTTCAATACCTCTTGTGTTTGTGTTTGTAATAGTCTTCTTTTAACCATTATCTTCAACTATAGTGCACACAGGGCGGCAGGAGACGCACATGTCAACAGAGCTGTCAATCATAGCATGATACCTATTTTTATTGCATCAAATTACTAATCAAAAACTTATCAGGAAAGTATACACTTGGACATGAATCAGCAAGATAAGAACTAACTTGAAAGACAACTTTTTTGTTCGAGAAATATTAAATTGATATTTTTTTTTATTTTATAGTTTGGCCCTTGTCCAATCTGTTGTCAAAGAGGGAGCTGCAGTTTATGACCTATACTGCAGCCAATCAGGTGCTCCAAAGGTTTTGGCCTCACTTTTGGGGGTATGTCATGTCGTCCATCTTTGTATAAGTGTATAATCTGTACAGTAAAAACAAAGCATCCAGCTGCCTAGAGTTGCATAGAAAAAGAGGGAAACAGCTAACCTAACTGGGTCCCAATGCAATCAAATCCCCCAACCAGCACCTTTGAAATATGCAGATTAAAATTGTATAGATAAGAAAACGTTTTGTTTCGCAAAAGGCGTAGAAATGTAACATGCCAATTCTTAAACTTTTTAGGAGTGCTGATAGGTTGGATTTCATCCGCTTTTGTCAGTGTCAGTGTAGCTGTCTTTCCCTGTTTTCAGTGTCGATGCTAAACTAAGCAATGCCAACTAGCTCATGGCTCTTACTTTAACAAACAGATAAAAGTGGTATTGATTAATTCATCTAACTTCAGGCACAAAAGCAAAGAATCATATTTAATATATTTCTCAAAATACACACACTGAATGAATATAGGATGTTATTTTGTCACAATAGTGTTCTGCACTATACTTCCATGAATTTCTCTTGAAGGTCTTGGTTGTTTTGTCTTCAAAGAAACCTTCTCAGATTACATATAATCCCCATTGATTTGTGGGTTTTCCCCTTTCATTCACTCTTTCACAGTGTCTAAGTGTCTTCTTTTGAAGTTGTTTTTATAAGCAAAACACTTAAATTATATAATATTATGTACTATGAAATAATACTGTACATTACGCACAAGCTTCTTCGTAGGTATTGACAGCAAACATGTCTGCATAATCTGATCCTTTACATTGACAAGTCTGGACATGTGGTTGACATTTGTGCTGTCAAGGTGCACTGTTTGATATGAAAAGGACATCTGAGGAAACCAGAGGAGACAAGCAGTCACCTCTCCTCTTCTGTTTTCGTCTGTTTTCCTCAGCGAGCTGCTCTCAGTCTCTCTGTACGCCCGAGTCCTCGTGTTTCTCTCTGACTCTCTCTGTCTCCTGCAGGGAGGGCACTAATGACGGATCAATGTCAGCACAATCTGCTGTAACAGAGACATCCCTCAACCTCTCTCTCCGTCTCATCCTATTCATCTGCACCTATTGCCCCCCTGTCACCATCTCTAGCCTTATTCTTTTCCCTTTTCAGTTAATCTCGTTTATCCACCCTTCATCCCTCTTCCTTCCCCGCTAAATCTCATCCTCTCATCTCATCTCAACAGTCGCTCTTGCTCTCTAAATTTTCTCCATCTTCCTCTCCTCATATGTTCTCTTGCCCTCCCTCCTTGTCCGCCTGCGGGGTGATGATTGCATTAGGTTGGTTGGCTCCGAACTCCTGCCAGTTTGCTTTCCACACTTCACCCGGGTAATGACTGAAATTGGAGAGGCCTTTTTTCCATGCGGTTAAAGGCACTAAAGGCATCTGCACTGGGAGCAATGAAAGAGAACCTAAACTTCAAACACAACAGACACACACACACACACACACACACACACACACACACACACAGACACACACACACACACACACACACACACACACACACACGTGCATACACAGTAACTAAAAAGCAGAATTGAATCTATATATTTTGATAAGTGAACTGCAATCATTTTCCATGAGATCCTGGAAAAAAAGGGTTTCTTGCATTTAGTTTTAGTTTTCCAGTTACAATTCTGAGGAAGCAATCCATAAAATTTGATTTATTTAACACTAAAAGTAAAATCTCCACCAACACACCGGCACAAGTACAGCAAGTGAGTGATGCAAGCATATTTACAAGCCGCGCAATATTTCTGGAAGAGACAGCGTGCTTTGAGAGTGATCCAATTTTCTAATAGAAAATGAGATTTATTTTGACTGACACTCATTACTCACCAGAGCAGACCATTGAGCAAAACAGCAAAATGATGAAGAGGAAGCTTAATAGCAGTTTGTTTATCTCCCGTCTCATCACTTTTTGTCAGTTTATTTATGGTTTTGGTAATAAGAAAAGAAAATCTTGCATTAACATAAACCATTCTTTCTCCGTTCCCTCAGATGATCCTGTTTTCAGCGTGTTGTATCTGCGGTCTGATCGCTGGGATCCTCAACTTCCAGTTTGTTCGAGCGCTGAACAAACGGCCAGACTCCATGCACTCCATTCATCTGGCAGCCATGACGCTGGCCTGTCTGGGTAAGATAAATATTAACAAAGACAACACTGTACTTGATTCTATGATATATGTTTGCTACTTGGGGAAAGGAATATTGTAAAATCATAAATTTGTTGACGTTTCTAAATGAGGGAGATAGTTTAAAAGGTTTAAACTGAAGGTAAATCTCATCTCCATTTATAACCTAACAAAAGTATGAATCATCCCAAAATATCTTATTGCTATGACTCACCCTTTGGCGTGGCTGCATAGTACAAATAAAACTCCTTCAAACATCCAAAATAAATCAGTGTGTTGAGCCAAATACTAACTTTAGCATGCTTAAATAATAGCAAGTTGACAATGCAAAACCTCCAGAAAAATATTATGATTAAAATTCTTAGTCAAGTTTATGTGTCAGGTAATTTATGTTTGTTTGTTGATTACCTAAATCGCCCTTTAGATAAAACAACCACTGTTTTCAGAGATAACAGTGGTGTAACAAAACTGAGTTGATGCCTTAGTCTTGATGCAGCCTTACAGCCAAAAGAAATAAAAAGTAGAAGCACTTTGAGCTAAAAAAAAAAAAAAAAGCTGCTGCAGGCGAGGCAAAATCAGTCAAGGATGCTTGCGCTGGGAAAGCGGTGGTAGTCAGGGTTAGCAGAAAGCCAGAAAACTTAAATAACATCCTGAATTATTGAACTTGCATGCATTGGAGTCCTTCAGCCTGCCTGTAAACTTATAAAGATCGAGGACGGGTAGCGGATGAAAGCATCACAGTGTTTGGGATTTTTGCAACTAATTAAATAGTAAAAGCAGAGTTTTATAGTCACTCTTTTTTTACTGTAACAAATAAGGATCTGATTTAAAACAGTGATTCAATCTTAATCCTGTGTTTTGTGACATGTGGAACCCCTATTGGAATTTAAGAAACACCTGCCCTTCTGGTATCACCAGAACAGAAACAAATTGGGATCCGGGCCGAAATTTTTTGATATATTTTTATTGTTTACGAATTGTTGACCGTGAACAATACTATTTTTTTATCAGATATATCAGTTAAGATGAATGTTTGAACCACCCTGGAAACAAAGAGACTTATATTGCCAAGAGGCATAGCTCAAAAATGCTAAATATTTAAAATTCTATTGCTCACTTGTGCTTGAGAATGAAAACAATTGGGTTGTTGCTATAGCTTTGCTTCTATTTTCCCGACTCGATCAGGGATCTCCTCCTGTACATTATCTACGTGGCTGACTTGTCGCCTGGCCAGCTCAGAGCAGCAGAGGATGTTCCTGGAGAGGGAACATTCCCTCCACCACTCGCACGAGATGACCGAGAAGGTAGGGCACGACAGCAAAAGATGGCCTCTAATTGTCCAGCTTGTGAAAAAGTATTGACTTCCTTTTTTGTGTAATTTAGCTTTAGATTTTTCCATACACTTCTTACAGTACTGAACAAAAACATTTTTCTTTTTGGGTGGTCTACTAGTAACAATGTACACATTACAAAAAAAAAAACAATAGGACAGAAACAAAACATTACCACAGCATCACAGTTTAACAGGTCACAGAACCTCTCCTTGAAACAGTATGGACTTAAACATCAACAGCTGCAAGATGGCATGTGTATATAAAGTAAAAAAAGTGTCTGTGTGTCCACAAACAGGAGATCCTGGACAACTCAAGTAACGGCATTCCTCAGCTCTCTTATAACGGACACACCACAGCATCCCCATGATGAGTGTTTGCTTCTTCCTACATGTCCTGCAGCATACGCAGTAACTATATCCTGACTGTAAGGAGGGAGGGCAGTAAAACCAGGTTTCCCTTCTCTCCCCCACCAGAGTCTTAGAGGGGACATTTTGTCAACAAGGAGACACCCTGGATAATTATGCAACCACAAGTTCAAACCAGGAAGCGGATCAGATGTCGTTTGGGTGATAATTCAGGTGATGGACATCTGCAGGACATCATCTGACCTTGAAACCAATGAGCAGAAAGGATAGACTCTGTCCAATCAGAAGCCTGGAAATGATGAGCACAAACCAAGCATGCAGCTGATTCATTTGTTATGGAGAGCTATTTCAGTCTTAGTGTCCTTATTCTCTCTGTTTGTTATGGAATGCAGATCTTGAAATGGTCTATCTGTATGTATCATCTGTTAATGGAATGCTTTGACATGAAAATACAGCAATGCACTATGTACTGTACTGTATATCAATGCTTGTATATCAGGTATACAGCAGTAACTATAAATCTAAATATTTTTATAAATGCTTCTTATAAAACAGAAATCAATAAAAGTATTATAAGTATCTATGGTGTTTCATTTCAGTGGGATTTATTTGATATCTGATGTACATTATCACACATTAACTACTTGAGCTCCACACTGTCAACACTTCCAATTTTCAACAGGAGTTAAGAAGTCAGTGGATTCCTATGGGACCATACTTTAACACAGAGCTGCCTTCAAGGTTCACACTTGCTCATCATAAAGTTAAGTGCTGGTGTAAATCTGTTTGAAAGCACTTCTCAACTTCACAAACATGCAGTGCTTCACAAAGCAAAAGCAGAAACAGAAACAATGTAACACACACTTACACGCGTGCACACACACGGACACAAGACTGTGAAGGCTAATGAAGATGTACACTTAATTATAGAACATCATGCTGCTCAGTACCTCATTATGGTGTTTGTGTATGGCGTGTGTGTGCATATGTGTGAGTGTGTGTTTTAACCAGGGACCACAGCAGCAGAAGCCACTGGGAGCACTTGCTGACTAATAGCCCACGTCACTATTTATCACTGTGAAAGCAGACAGGAGCGGGCCCCGGTGCCCCAGAGAGCCCCAGATCTGCACTGCACTGCATGTGTGTGTGCGTGTGTGTGTGTTAGGGAAATGCTGAATCATGTGACCTCCTGTGTTGCTGCTCAGTCAGAAAACAGTACTAGATTACCAAGTGTGTATGTGTGCAAGTGTATTCTTTATGCATGTGTTTATGTGTATTTCTGTGGCTGTATGTGTGTTTGTGTTTGTGTATATGTGTGTGTGTGCATGTGCATTAGTTGTTCTAATTGACACCTCAGGTCACCCTAATGATCTTATTGTGCCATTGCAGGTAAGAACAGGATACAGAATCAATGCGCGTCTCTTATAAGATGAACAGCTCTACAGCATTACAAAGCAAGCCACTAAACAACCTTCAAAGGGCTGTTGGTAAGCATATGCACATTTTGTTTCAGTTATATAGTTCCCACCCCAAAATGTTCAAACACATTTAGTAAAACTTTGTTCTGAAGAATAAGAAAAGGCTTTGCCTTTTGTCTCAATGCTTATAGGAGTAAATATAGACTTGTTTATGCTGGGAGCTAGCCTGCTGTGACTGCCCTTTTTACGCCCTGCTCTTCCCATTCTTTGCAAAAGCTACAGCATCGCTATTCGGGAATATACCATGGCCTTTGTAATTCTATCGATCTGTTTGATACAATTTAATCTAGTTGTACCTACCAAGTTTAGTTTAAGGACCCCTAGCAATGTTTGGGCATGAAACATTGCCATTAAAGTGAAAGTAAGCCTGCGTTCAAGAGTTTATATGCTATTTTCAAAGTAGTAATTGTGACTTTGGACTTGTTCTTTTTCAAATGAATAAGCTAAGAATATGTAGATGTTGCCAAATTGTGCAACATACAAGTACGTTTAATTTATTAATGGGGATAGAAAAAACAAATAAATTAAATGAATGCACTTGTCTGTTGTAGTAAGATCTTACATGGTATTTAAACAGGTTAAAAATGTGGGTACGTGTCATGTATATTTTGCTGATACTTACTAAAACAAAATAACCTTAAGTTATGCAGCAGTATGTTTATACTTTTGGGATTAAACTATTTTTTTAAGTAAGCGATGTTTGATGCTGGACTATCACAATTTGGCTGAGCATGTTATTCTACTCCTGCCCACCAGGCGGCAACGTAAAGAAATGTTGTAGATAGTTAAAAGCCGCTGAGCCTTCCTTAAAGAGGAAAAGAGTCTGCCTTGACTCTTCCGGGGTTTCCTCAACAGCATGGCGAACTTAGAGCATGCCGAAGACGACTCCAAACAAGTGAGAATGTCAGGTGAAATCACCGCCGCCACTGCTCACGTCCAGCCGGCAGGAGTGTCCTCTGCACCGGGCAGAGACGCCGGCGCTGCGTCGTGCTGTATCCCGTCGTTCGCTGCCGCCTCCGAGCTGCTGTCAGCACCGTACTCGTGTCTGGTCATGAACACGCATCGGAGACACATCGCTCTGCCGCCCGTGTACCTGAACAAGAAGAGGACAGGTATAAAAGAGGAGCTGGAGGCCGAGTTGCTCAGGTTCTCTCAGAGGTAACAACACCATTACAGCTATTTATAACCATGCTATGTGTATTTCTTTCCAGTTTTACCTGGTTTGTCCTTCTACCTGTTGTCGCTACCTTCACGTCACTGTTGGTTAACTGTGAATAATAATAATAATAATAATAATAATAAGATAAATAAGAATAAATAAATAAAGATAAATAATATTTTGTTAGTGATTAAGTAAGAATTCTGCATGGAAAGTTAGAGCTCTCTCAGAATGCCCCCCTGACCGTGTTGTTGTTTTGACCTATACATTACAATGTATTTGTTGAGCTTTTGTATTGTGCAGCCGGTCTTGGTTACATTACCTTGATTTTGTGTCATGAAACAAAACTTTCATAAAACAAAATACTTCATTCAACCTTTCATTTAAGTAAAGCGGAGTTTAAACCTTTGTGCTTGGTTTGTTGTCAGTGCTGGGTCCATGATGTCAAAAAACTTGAATTGTCTCTTTTGACAGTAGATGACATGTGTTTCAATGTACATTATGTGCAGTTATTTGGTCTGTACGTCTGACTGTTAAATTGCAGTGTTGATCTGTATAGATGTGTTGGATTCGTCACCAGGCTAATTCATTTTAATCTGTGTCTCGTTGCAGTCTAAAAGGAGTACCCATGGCATATGACAACATCAGGATAGTAGGCCAGCATGGAAACATCTATGATGACAGTGGATACATCCACATGGACATAGAGGCCGACTTCATCGTCTTTCAGCCCACAAAAGGACAGCAGCTGGTGGTGAGGACTAGAGTTGTAACAATCTGCAGATTCTTTTATCAGTAGTAGCTGTTGAAGAAATGACTAAGACTTGACTCCACACAATAAGACTCGGTTGACATCAGATGGCTTACGTTGATGAAAGTTTATACATCAGATGAATACTCGTGAGGAGACATGATTCAACATCACACTTCTGTACTCGTGTCTTGCTCAATCACATCTGCCGAACTTCTCGAAAGGCATCGCATATATCCCAAAAAGACATTATCATTATCAGGGTCACATTGACCCACTTAGACTAAACTGTGACGTCCATAACACTGGAGCAGACAACAAGTCTACCAAACATCCTTACAGATATCAGGAAGAACAGCTGACACTCTCTAAGCTGTCCTTAGTGTTCTAATAACAACTGAACTGTGTCCGGTCTGACTGACATTAGAGAACAGTGAATAACCCTAATTACATCTGTACATCATAATTGAAATAACTACAGCAATTCCACCGCAGTAGCAAATACAAATAAAGATTTATTTTTATAGAACAATCTTTTTCCTCTTTCATGCTTTATTTTTTGATGTTATTGTGCGTCTGTTCTCAGGGTAAGGTGAATAAACTGGGTGTGAGTCATGTAGGCTGTCTGGTGCACGGCTGCTTCAATGCCAGCATACCCAAGCCCAACCTGGTGGCTGTGGAAACCTGGCGGGATGCAGGGCCCAGAATCGGAGCAGAGCTGGAGTTTGAAGTGACAGCCCTCGATGCTGATATTTTTGGGGTCCTGCTGATCAGAGGACGACTAGACAGGACCAGGTTCGTGTTCAGTCACAGTGGTTTCTGTTAGCTCGTCCAAACCTACCTGTCTCGTGCGGTAAATTTGTCGTAGTTTTCTTCTTTATTGGATGCCTAGCAGGAACTTTTTATAGCAGTGTAGTGGACGGTTTAGAGTGTGCGCCACAATCACTAAAGCTGTTATTTTTCTACATCAAACTTCTGCTTGCTGGCATCTCAATCGAAATCAATCTTTAGAAAATCTGACATATTATCACATATCCTCCATTAATTGTCATACTTGTTTTTATTCTAAGTGGAATTTGAAATTGAACCTTTCCCAAGTGTTCGACAGGTTCTTTACTTTGATCACTTATTTTCTATAAACTTGTTGTGTAATCTTTTAGAAAAGTGATTTTCAGTGTGTCACAAAACCCCTTACTGATTGCATTGTTTCGTCTTTCTCAGGGTGCAGGAGCTGCTGGCTTTGGGTGAGAGCTCAGAGTCCAATGGAACCACAGACTATTCAGAACCAGCAGAAACAAGCCAAGAACCCACAGAGGAGTCTCCTGTCGACGGCCATAAGAAAACAAAGAAAAGGAAGAAAGTAGAAAAGGAGCAGACAGGGGAGGAGATCCAAAGTTTACCCACTATTTTGGAAAGCAACACAACACAAGAGCTGAACAGAACAATGGATGAAGCAAACGGCAATGAGGCTGGTGAGAAAAAGAAGAACAAAAAGAAAAAGGAAAAACATGTGAAAGAAGAGGAGGAGGAGATTGAGCTCTCTCAGGTGCAAGGCGGCAGTGACTCGAGCGGTTATCTTACCGACAAGCCTAAAAAAAAGAGGAAACATGAAACTAGTTCAGATGTCGCATCTAGTTTAAGTGATAATGTTGAACCACCAAAATCCAAAAAGAAGAGGAAGAGTGACATTGAGCAGTTTGCCTAAAATATGAATCATATTCTGTTAAGGAATCAGGCTTATCGTGTTATGTTGAGGAATATACTGGCGTGCCTTAATAAAAACACTGTTTTTAGAATCAACTCTTGTACTAGGTATTTCTGAAGCGGTTCAGACTTTCAGGTTGGGCTTTTCTACCGTTACAACTTCTATTTTGGTGAAAACAACCAAGAGGATGAAGGCAACCCTGACCCAAAGGACCTCATCAGGTTGTAATTCCTTAAACTGCCTGAAGGGGGCACAAAAATACTTCAGAAATCCACACCTGGACACAGAAACAAATGGGGGAAACCTTGTCAGATTCAAATACCACTTATCAGTAAGTTGTGATAATAAAAATAGGCCTGGTCTTTTCTTGTATTTGATTGAGCCAGTTGGGAAAAAGTTTACAAACTCAAGCATATTTTGTCCTGCCTGGAAACTGAAAGTAGGTTTCTGAAACTTTTATTTTTTCATTCCCAACATGTGCCTCGATGTTAAATTCCTAGGCTCAGTGACAAACAGTTTTAATGAATTATTGAATGACTGTTTGTGTACTCTGTCTGTGACTGAAACCAACAGAAATGTAAATTAAATATTTAGATCCTAATTAAAGATCTGTACATTTCTAATTGTTACCCTTTTTTCCCTTCTTCCACTCTGAATCAGTTAATACTTAGATATGTCTTAAGGTATCTCCATCTTAGATATCTAAACAACGATGCTTTAATTATGCTGGAAATATATTCAATTTTTTTTATTAATTAAAGGTCCCAAGAATGGTAGGAGGGGTTAAACTTAATATCAAATAAATTCTAGAGAGTTGAAGTCAGCTGAGTTTTGAGAGCTTGTGTTTACTGCTGTCAATGTCAGGAAAACTCCATCACCTGCACTGCACCAGATTTTGATCATCTCCAGGGCTCGGTTGTATAAAAAGTTTAATCCAGATAAGAATGATCCATATTTGGTAATCAACTCTTTATCTACCCAGGATCAAGTAATCCAGTTAACTTTTCTCACATCACAGAAAAACTTGATTAGATCAACCTTATCTAGATACATACTTCCAGTGGTTACCAAATATCTGTACTACCAGTGCTATCAAGAGGACTTCCCACTACATACATTGTCCACAGGGGGCGCCAAAACCCTGACAAGCTAAATCAACGTTACGTTAAATACTTAATGTTATTTATTTATTTAAATAGGCACAGTGCACGTTAATGAACATAAACATGTAAATATGCCAGATTATAGCCATGGCTTATTTCCATCTGTAGTCCATTGGCAGGTTGATGGTAAACAGGTAAACAAAGTTACATAGAACCACGATGACAAGTCAAACCAATACAACAAGTAATGACAAAGCAGCAATATATACTGTACATTAGTAGACAGTGACAAACCATACCAGTATAAAGAGTGGCTGTTTGATTTTGTTCAGAAAGAACCAGTATAAAGCTACCATCAGATATTGATGCTCTTTGGAGGAATATTTTATTGTGGGTAAAATCCTTTTCTTACCACACTAATGTATACCTCATTTAGTTCGTTACTAAATCCCCTGTAATCCAGTCTGAATCCAGCCCTCCGCTGTGATCAGGATTATCCTGATTCTTTTGGATCAAATTGATCCTATTCTTATTTAAAAGTTTTAAACACAAACTGGAGGTTTTATATAGATAAAAAAAACAAGATGGTTCATGAACCTTTTTTATTTTTTTTGAACAACCAGATTTTTCAAGATTCGGTCCTATCAGATACCTTTAATCCTGTTGGACTGCCTTTGAACAAGAAGGCCCAGAGGACTCTTGGAGTTTCAGCTTCCAAGGTATTTTGGTTCAGGTTTTTTGTGACTCAAACGTCTGACCCTGATTAGGTCTTCTATGATCTTGCAACATAAGCCTGGAGTTGCTCATTGTTGTAGTGCAGCATGAAATAGAATGTAACCTGGATGCAGACATAGTTTATTAATACATGACAGAAAATGAGGACAAGAAGGAGCCTTTGATAGATTATTTTTTTTGTTTTTGAGGTGCTCACTCATAAAGTATACAGTTGTGTTTTCTGGAACTTTAATTAGATTTGAAAATCACCATTAATGTATTCCTGAATATGTGAAGATAGTCACAGAGGAAGTCTACAGCTCCTGCTGTTATATAAACAGAAATCACTGGTTTGAAAACCAGTTAGTTTCAAAACTTTTAGGGACTATTTACCACCACCATCCTCTTTTCAGGCAGCCTGAAACCACAAACCATGTCTTGTACTTTCCTCTTTTCATTTAAACTGAAGAAAATCTTAAATTGAATTTGAATTTCTCTACTTTACAACCAGCACTTTCACACCACTTGTTTTTGCCTAAATTGGGGTGCATTTTTAGGACAGGGAAGTGACATTTGGCTGCTCTCATCTAACATTTTCCTTGGAAGCTAAATCAAATTCCTACATGTTGGTGACACACAAGAGAACTATGTGCAAATTTCCAACACGATCTGCACAAATGGGGATACAAAACAAAAGGCCTTACCGGGAAGCTGATGTAAAAATCCAGCATTAGCAATTTGGTTTACATGTATTCTCTTGTTTGTACTTCGTCTCAGAACATGTGATGATGTGAATGGTCATATTCATCATATTTATCATCCGTTCCCCTTTCTGCCCCCTTAGAGGACGTCATCTGAGACAAACCAGGAAACAATTTGTTTTTGTTCCCGGCATACCGACAGAGGGACTTTAGGATTTACCTTCCTCTAAGTAGTTAGAGGAGGGAGAACTGAAGTAACACTGTATGTTTTTAAGGAGGCATATTAGCAAAGGACATTATTACTCATTTAAAAGTAGTGAAATACTCAAACTTCAACTGTCAGCAACTTTTTAAACCACTGTGTTTTCAGCCTCACTCTGGAATTAAATGCCTTCCAGATTAGAGAGGAATCTCTGCTGTCCAGGACATCTTAAGAGATCCTGTTATTCTTTCATGGAGCCACAGCTACTGCAGACTGTCTGTAGAGCAGGTGAGGAGAGAAACAAATACAAGAGGGTCCACTTTGTAAGGCAAGATCTTCAAGCTCAAACCCTCTTTTTAATCTGGTGTTCAAGAAGAAAGAGATCAGAGAGGATCTCTGCAGTCTGAGAAACTCAAACACTTCAGCCTGAACCATCAGCAGCCACCGGACTCGTCTGCAGAGATTCAGAAAAACACAGATTCAGACCCATTGATGAAGCTGCACAAAACATGAGAAGAAACTTCAGAGAAGTCTGCAGTCCTTGCAAGAGAAGTAACAGTTTTTTGAGCTAAAGTTAAAGCAGGGTTTGATTAAACTGCAGAAGACATTCAGGTCCAGGCCCGCCACACTGGGAGGAAGATTAAGGAGCAGTTAAAGAAGCATCACAAGTTTATAGAAGAGGAAGAGAAGGTCAGGCTGTCTGCACTGAGGGAGATACAGTTGCAGAGGTAAGGAGTCTGATGGTGAAGGAGGAGATAGAAGCTTTGAGCAGTGAGATGGCAACTCTTTAAGACACAGTCAGAGATACAGAGGAGGAGCTGAGAGCTCAAGACTTCTCATTCCTGCAAAACTACACGGCTACAGTGGAAAGAGTACACCAGAATACACCAGAGCTGCTATCAGGAGCTTTAATAAACTAGGAACAAGATGAAGGACTTAAACACAGTTGAACCAGGACTTGTCTGACAAGTGTGACAGGCGAACAGCAGCAGCTGCCTTTTAAATATTTACAGTGGTCCTTTTTATTTTATTGTGTCCTGGACTCTGAGGGCTCTAACTCAGGGACTCACAGCTGGGAGGTCGAGGTGTCCCGTGAAGGTCAATACAAAGCAAGCATTACCCTCAACTTGATCCTTTTTTATCTCAGAAGCAGCTCGTGAGGATGTGGACTGGGACAGGGGACATGTGTCGTTCTCAAATGCTGGTACTAACACACACATACACACCTTTACACACATTTACTGAGAAGATGTTTCCATTCTTTGTTCTCATGAAAAAAACTCAAGATCAGTGTGACCCAACAACAGCATTAATAGATTATTTAGTTTGAAGGTAGACAAAATATGAAGCTTCTTTGAGAACTTTTAGCCAGTTACTGAAAATACTTAAATTGTAACAAATGTCTCTACATGATGTACAAAAGGAAACAAAGACATTCAAACAAGATGCTTATTTCTAAAGTAAATTCTAATGCTTCTAGTCACGGCAGCTGGGTAGGTGTCAGACACATTGCAGAAACAGCTTTTGTTGACATTTTCCACAGCAAAGATGAACAATGAGGGATTTATTTGATTAAAGCAGGAGTGTAGCTTCTGGTCATGGGGGCCTGCTCCACCGACTAAGCTTAATAACCAGCACCCCAAAAAGTTAAATAGTGATGTTACCCATTTGTTTGGAAGTCCATTGATGGCAGTCACCATGCAAGAAATGCTGTCTCAACCTCTCTTTTCAACCTTACACCAGGCTAAAAGCTGGAGCTGAGGCGGGTTTTAAGCCCCCTTACACACAGCTAGGATAGGATAGTACTTTATTGATCCCCAGAGGGGAAAGTCGGGCGTTACAGCAGCACAGACAAAAAGCTCAAATACACATTAAACAGAATAGATAAGATAAATAAAAATAAAAATAAAAATAAAATAAAAAATAAAAACAGGGGGGTGTATACAGTACAAAATGAATGTTGAAGTTAACTGGGGGGAATTGAGAATTGAGACAGTATTTGAAGAGAATGACAAGATAAAGTGACAAGTGATGATTAAAGTGACTTGGTATGATAAATAAATAGCAGCAAGTAATGTAAACAGCAGAGAAGAGAGGCAGTGTTGTACCACAGTAACGCAGAGTGCAGTTATATAATATAATGTAGTATAATATAATATAGTGCAATATGAAAAATATAGTGTAATATAATGAAATGTTATATAATATAGACTAGTATAATAATATAATAAAAAATATATGGAATGTACAGTATATATGTATATATATATAGACCTAAGTAATAATACAAATACAATAATACAATGATAATAATGAAGCAGGTCATGTGGGTAGTGTTTTATGGGGGTGAAGTTTAGTGTCAAGGATGGACTGTTATTGTTGTCACAGGCTGCTGTTGTACAGTCTTATGGCAGTGGGCACAAAGGAGCGCCTGAAGCGCTCTGTTTTGCACCTGGGGGGGATGAGGCGTTGGCTGAAGGAGCTGCCCATGTGTGTGTGTGTGTGTGTGTGTGTGTGTGTGTGTGTGTGTGTGGATGTGTGTGTGTGTGTGTGTGTGTGTGTGTGTGGATGTGTGTGTGTGTGTGTGTGTGTGTGTGTGTGTGTGTGAATTCTCTCCAACTACAAACTCTTTAATGCCGGCCGGTGGGTGTCAAGTGATGAAGTGTTGAGAGACGCCTTTAAGATCTTTGTGTTTTCTTTACCCCCCACTCCCACCCAACAAACACACACACACACACACACACACACACACACACACACACACACACACACACACAAATCCCCGCTGTCTTTGAGTGGGGAGTCTCATCATCAGCTGTGAGGTGCTAAAAGTCTGAGAGCTTATCAGGAGCTGCCTAAAGAGGGCAGATAAGCAGCTGCAATTAACTCGGCTCATCCTCTGT